CAGGCTCGGTCTCAAACATTTCATCAGTTACTTTTTGTTAATTTTTTTTCTCAAACTGGAACAGATTTATTATGAAATCAAAGAAAGCATTTTTTTTTGCTGCTGGTCCAAGTTTACATCTGTAAAATTAATCTAACTTTTTATTGTCGATTAAGGTAGCGGACATATAAGCAAAAAGGAATTTATTCAGTACATGAGTCAACCACCAAAATATCGTACCACAATTGGCAGCCTTACCGAAGAATTCAAAGTTTTCGACACAGACGGCGACGGAGCAATCACATTAGGTAATAAGAAGCAGTTTTCTCCAAAAAAAACAAAAAAAAAAAAAACTAACTGCTACTCGTTTCTTTCCAATTATTTGGATTTTTTTTACATGAAGTGAAAGAAATTTTTTTATTTTGTAAATAACGGTAAAATAGAATCATTATTTCTGTTGTTAATTTAATTATCACAACTACAAATTTTGTGCTTTCAAGACGTCTTTTTTGAAGTTTCAAAGCATTTTTGAGTTGGCGATTATGCGGTTAACTGTTGGGAAAAATAAGCCATTTACTTTAGAAAATGTTTGTTTATGTGATCTGTAAGAATTTTATACTTGCATTAGACTTTAGACAACATAGTGCAGTAATTTCTGGTCTATTATTTACTTCTTAGGCAGAAGTTTTGTTACTGCTTCCTCTTAATTTTTCTCTTCTTTCTCTAATTCCTTTCTCAACTATTTTACTTTTGTATATTTTCACTTGAAAATTCTTTTCCCTTCTTTAAAAGTTACATAGCTTTTCTCAAGCGTTTTTTTTTCGTATCAAATAAAGCAAAGACCTGTCATGGGTTTCCAATTTAAATTTCCTCAACTGCACCTTATTTGTATGCTGACGGTTGCGAAAATAGAAAGTTATTACAGCATTTTTTGTTTAAAATTTAATTCACTAAACTTTGCTGAATAGGTGAAGGCTGCGCAGCGAATTTTCTCAAGTCGTATAATGAGCTCCTCTGCAAAAAGTGATGCCCTTTGCCTTTCTGTTATAAACTAAAAAATTTTTGATTTCTTCTTGCTATTTTTTCGACTTGTAAGACTGTAAAGCGATTTGTTTAGTTGTTGGTCTTAAACAGTGAACAATTTGGATCGTTAGTTTTTCTGCAGTTACTCTATTACACCAATGTGCTTTTGTGTGTTCTGCTTTTTGAGATGTTTTTCTTGTTTTTGTTGCCGTTGTTGTCGTTGTTTTTTATTTTGGCCTTTGTTTTACTTTATTTACAATGAGTAGCATACGTTATGCATCTCAGCAATTCAACAGACATTTTAAAATTTATTGATTTGTTTCTTAACTAAAAAAGAGTGCAATTTTCTTTTCGTTGTCTTGATATTAGTTGTTAGATAGGGGGAGAGGGTGGCAAGGGGAGAGGAGGGAAGAAAAAGCTCACTAAACATTTTGGCTCTTAACTAGTTCCTTTCCAATTGTATCTTATTCAGTCATCTAAGGTGCTTTTAACAGCCTCAAAGGCAGCATACAGCTGTGATTTAGTAGACTTAAATGCATCAGCTAGTTTGAACAAAATCAACAATACATTCGAAAGCATTTCTTCCGTTTACAATATAACAAGAAAATGAGGGTGACAAAATTTTGTAGGTTTTTTTTGCATTTTTTTTTCTGCAACCAACTGTTTTAATTCATAAAGGAAACAGAAATTTTAATTTTTTTTCAACCGTAAGTAGTGGAACAAAAAAAATATTTTTATCCTAAATTTGTTACTTATAGATTAAGAAGAAGAAATTTTTCAATACCGAGGAATTGTTGATGTTTAGAAAGTTTATTAAACTGAATCTTCTTTTTTTTTATAGTAGTTTTTGCTAGATATTAATAATTTTTCAACGTATTATATAAAGAGTCCAAATTTCTCGTGTCATTTTTTCTTTTTTGACTTAAAAACTTTTTTTTTTTTTTGACTATCGCTGGTTTTCGTTCCTGGGAACAACCTGCATAGTGGTTTATTGGCTTTGTTCATTCTGATGAAAAAAATTGGCAAAATAACAAGATATTCTGGGAGGCTGCAGGGAACAAAATGTAGGAACACCAATTCTATTTCCTCTTGCAAACGTTTTATTAAAAGGGTAGTTGTTGCACTAAACACTAATTAATTCCCATTGTAGAGCACAGAAGGACTAAAAATTTAAAAAGGTTATTCTATCCTTAGATAGTTATCGGTAAAACAGAACAGTCTGCTTAATTTTTAAATATAATAGGGTGCTGTAAATTGTATTTCACACCCCCTGGCGGGTGATGAAGATGGCTTTGTTCTGACTAACCCAGCAGTAGTTGAATTCTGTAAGACATGATTCTTCTTATGCTTTGCGTATAGCAAAACGATTACATAATCGTAAGGTTGTCTATACAGGGTGTAGCAGACAGTCACTGTGTTCCTTTCACAGATTTCATCAGTTAAAGAAGCTGAGTGAGGGTAGTAAATGCGCAGAAAACTTTTGCTAAAAGTTACGTCAAGTTTAGACCAATTCACTTACAAGGCATCACCGCGATAGCAAACATTCATGAGGCTTGAGAAACTTCAATTACAACTGATGTATCATGTAGAATAAGTCTCTTTCTTACTGTTTAGTCACTTATTTTATTCAACGGAATGCTTTTTTTTCTTACTTTTTCGTAAAATAGGGATTATAGCAGAACCGATGGTTGATTTATTTTGATTGAAATTACACTTATTCTGACACAGTACGATTAATTAGAGATTGTTTAATGGCAGAAAAGTTAGCACCAATGTTGTCATCGCTCTGCTGACTAGATTTTTTCTGAATTAAATTTTTTTATTAGTACTGATGTACTAAAGAGAGGCAGGATTTATGAATCATTTTATTACAAATGCTCCATTGTGTATTAAACTGAAAATGATATGGTTCTTGATACTTTACCTTACCACTGTGAAGTTACCAATGGAGTTATGTTACTATCGCTTTGGTTTAGTGCGGACAGTTTTTTTGATCAGTCGTCTAACTTTGGTGAACACAACTGTCATTTATGTTCAAAAAATACAAAAGAAAAAAGTTTCTCTATATTTGTAATGTAACCTTGTTTAAAAATCTTCAAGCATTCCATCTTTTTTTTTTTGGTCTGTTGGGTGACTTTTGAAATATGCTGAAGTTCGAGTTTAAACTTATTCAAGTGTAGGTACAAAAAAAATTATCGTCGAAAATTGTCATCAATAAAAGCATTGATGTGTTGAACAAAACTTATAGCATTGTTGGGGAACAATGAAGGACTGAATGCGGCCCTGAAAAGTCTTATAAATGATAGGTTGTTTCACCCTTTTCTGAGGGTTGAAGGAGGATAGACCTTCTGAAGCAGCAGTGTATAATTGTGCCTTCCGCTACTGTCATCATTAACAGTTGCACTTTTATCAAATTCATTTGCATTTTCAATAGCCTTTGAACAACCCTGATGTGCGTCTGGGATTCATTACTTAAAAAAATTTTTAAATCATCTTTTCTGTCTACAGATGAACTTGAAAAACTGTTGACCAAAGCAGCTGGTTTTACGGACCGAAACGAAATTCGTAAGATGTTCGAAATGACTGATAAGAACGGCGATGGTCGAATAACATTCAAAGAGTTCGCTGACATGATGCATGAATAAAAAAAAAACTGTTATAAATTTGTATTTCTTTGTTTTTTTTTTTTTTTTTTTTTTTTTTTTTTT